CACACCCGGCTTCTACCTTATTTCTTAAACAAATAACTTTATTATTTTAATTTTATGTGTATAAGTGTATTGCCTGCATGTATGTAAGTGCACCTGTGTTGTGCAATTCCGGAGGAGGTCAGAAGAGGGCGTCAGATTCCCCTGGAACTGGAGTTACAGACAGTTGTTAGCTGCCATGTGGATGTTGGGAATTGAACCTGGGTCCTCTGTAAGAGCAGCCAGTGTTCTTAACCACTGAGCCGTCTCTCCAGCCCTCTATCTTATTTTTTGAGACAGGAACTTTCACTGAGCCTGGAGCTCACTGTTTTGGCTAGGCTGTCTCTCTCCCCCAGAACATGGTTGTAGACATGCACTATCATCCCCAGATTTTACTTGAGATTCCAACTCAGCAAGCACTTATCCACTTAGCCATCTCCTCAGCCCTATAGGCTTTTTTCTCCTCCTCCTCCTCTTCCACCTCTACCTCTACCTCCTCTTCCTCCTTCTCCTCCTCTTCCTCCTCCCCCTCCTTCCCCAGCTGGTGTGGAACTCACTATGTAGACCAGGCTGGCCTTGAACTCACAGAGATCCACCTGCCTCTGCTGGGACTAAAGGGTGCATCACCATGCCCTGCTCACAGGTGTCTTTTCTGTGTGGGTTCTGGGTATCCAGTTCCTTGTGCTTGCAAGGAAAATGCTTTATTGACTGAACCAGAGACACCTCTCCAACCTCTCCTTATGTTTTTATTTTTACTTATTTTTAATTTTAACTAAATTTTTAATTTTATATGTGTGTGTGACTGCATGTGGGTATGTGCACGTGCGTGTAGGTGCACATGGAGGCCACAGGCATTGGACCCCCCCGCCCCCCGAACTGGAGTTACAGGTGGTTGTGAGGCTTCTGATTGTGGGTGCTGGGAACTCAGGTCCTCTGCAAGAACCATCTCTCCAGCCCCGCCCCCCCCTTATTTTTTTTGTCTTTTTAAAACAAGGCCTCCCTGTGGCCCCAGCTGGACGGGAACTCACTATGTAGACCAGGCTGGCCTTGAACTCACAAAGATCCGCCTGCCTCTGCCTCCCAAGTACTGGGCTTAAAGGCGTGCGCCACCACACCCGGCTTTCTCCAGCCTCTATTTTTAATTTTTTTAAATTTAATTTTTATTTATTTGGCACGTGTGTGTGGGGTGCAAACTTTTGGAAGTTAGCTTTCTCTTTCCTTCATGTGATTTGGGTCTTTGTCAGGATTTGTGGCAGGCATCTTTACCCACTTCTGCTGGCCCCTTTTCTACTTATTAAGCAGGACTGGTGAGCCCCTGCTCCCTTGCTTGGATCCAAAGCCTGTCATCCTCTGTGACTCTTCCCATTTAAAATAAACTATAGTTTTAAGATTGTTTAAGGCTTAGTTTATAGAAAAATTGCAGAGATAATACCGAGTTACTCCATGTCCAGTTTCCCCAAAATGTTAACATTTTATTTTACTGCACAACTTGGTACCAGTATGGAAATCCCACCCTTAATTCTGATCACCTTAATTTTTCCTTGGTGTCTTTTCCTGCTGTGGGATCCCACCCTGAGGCACTGTGGTCCATTTAGTTGGCTCTAGTGGTTTCTCTGACTTCCTTGTTTGAGATAGTTTGGCAGACTGTTAAGTGTTTTGTACGATGTCTTTCTCCTGGGGTTTGCTTAATTATTTTTCTCATGAGGAAACTGGGTTCTAGGTTTTGAGAGGAAGACCTCAGAGGCCAAGTACAGTTTCCATCATACCGCATTGTGCCATTGTGAGTTCTGTCAGCCCGAGTATCACTGATGGTGTTGACCTTGATCACTTCCTGAGGAGTATTTGTACTGCACAGAGACTCTTTCTGTGCTGTCCTCTGTGGGAGGAAGTCACTCTGTGTGGCTGTGAGCTCTGTTTTTACTGATCTCTAAGATACTCAAAATGTGTTCTGATGCCATGTTCTTTTGTCTGTCCTAATGCTACTGCCTGCATCAGAGCAGGCAGTGTGGCAGGAACCTCCCACCGGGACTCCATGCTTCTGTTCATGCCTCATAGTCTGTTCTCCATTTGATAGCAAGTGAGCCTTTAAAAGGCTTTCCGACCACACTTGGAATGTTGTAGAATGCCTTCCGGTGCTTCCTCCAGCCTCCCTCCTTTTGCCTAAGCCACTGGTGCCAGGAAGACCCACCCCCAGACAGTCTGAGGCTTATTGCTCTTTCCTCACAGACCTGTGGCCCTGTCACTGGTCTTTCTTTATAGTACCTACTCTGGAGTATTATACTCTGTGTGTGTTAATTTGTTCATGGCATGACTCCCATGGTAGAAGGGACCTTCTTAGGAGCACTTTGTCCGTGGTGTTCTCTGCAGCATTCCCAGTTTCTGGCACAGTACTTGGCATAAGTACATACTTCGTAAATGCTTGATGTACACACGTATGGATTCTGCAGGTGGATGACACGGAGTGCTTTGCATGGGCCAGCACTCTGTGGAGATTATGTTACTTCCCTTCCTGTTTCTGTGGGTTTTATAGAGCTTTGTTTTTTATTAGACTCATAATCCAAGCTACTTTAAACCAGACAGAAAGTTTAGGAAAACCAATACATTTACAGGCATGTGGACCTGTGAAACTCCCAGGCAGCTGGCAGTATAGAAGTTATAGCTGTCCAGAGAACTGCAGTGAGCCATGAAGGTAGGGCACAGCATACAGTAGAGCTAGAATCACCCATGCAACGGGGACTTCCTAGGCCCTCTGTTGCATTGAGGTTATTAATATTGCTTGGCTCAAGGACAGTTCCATTCAGGAGATGCTCTGGTCTGTCTTCATCAACTACACCCATGTTCTTCCTGAAGCTGTTGTCCTATTGAGGCTGCCAGCTATTTTTGTCTTGTCCTTGAGGTCATTGACAGTTGTCTCTTCGACACTTGGAAGCACTCCTAACTGATCCTTTAGGTGAGCTTGCTGAGCCCCTGAGCTGTTAGCTGCTGCCATTACAGGGAAGCACTGAACATCCAGACTGGGGGCCCTGGACTAGTTCAGAATGGATTAGGGGCTAGGGGTGGACTTGGATGTGACACAGACCCAGGTTCAAATGCTGGTTCAGCTATTGAGTAGCTTTGTGACTCAGGCAATTTCCTTGACTCAGATTCTCAGATTATTGAGCTGTAGACTGGCATGAGATGCCCGGCCCACTTCATGCTGGGCAGTGAGTCATGAGCACAGCAAAGCTGAGAGGTGCTCGTGAGCTGTGAGCAGATCTCTGTGCTGGCCTCTCATCCCCACTCCACTCTGTCTAAGCAGGGGTTTCAGAGGTGCTGCTCTCCTGGCCTCCCTTTGGTGAACAGAACCAGGCCACCGGGGCTGGATCAGTGTGACCTGTGGCAAGTACGACAGTAAAAATGCAGAACCGAACAGGGTGTTTGGAAGTCTTGGGAACGCCCACGGGTGGAAATAGCAGTTGAGTATTTCTTGGCATACATGCAGGTGTGAGATAAATGAGCCCAAAGTAACATTCTAGTCAGTGCTTTGTGCAACCTGACTTGAAAACTCACCACGAGTGTGCAGCCTGCTGGTGCCAGGAAATGCCCCTGTACCCACATGACCATGATCAGGGTAGCATGTACATGGACAGACTGGGGGTCCTTAAGCTTGTCCAGCTCTTACTTGTATAAAATGGGCATGGCAGGGATCAGAAGCTGGCAGCTGGGTGTGCTCTGAAGGATTGTTGTGGTCCAGCTCTGGGTCTGTGAGGGAAAGACTTGGATTCTCTGTACATAGAGGAGGGACTGGCATTTTTGTATAATGTGACCAATGGTTTAATAACTAGGAAATACCAGAGACACCAAGCTGTCTCCAGAAGCCCTGTGTGGTCTGAGACAGAGTAGTGGAAATGGGAGCCGTGGCTGAGGAGCATGCTCCCTGGGCCGAATGGGAAGGGAGACTGTCTTGACAGTCAGCCACGAGGTTCTCCAGCCTAGTTAGGTGAGAAGAGTGACAGTGGTAGGAGCTGTGTGGAGGGCTCCCCAGAAAGCCTCCCCTGGGTCTCCGTGAAACCTGGTAGTGGTCACGTGGCATATGCATCAGTTACTGTGCCCATTTCTGTGACAAAAAACTTGACAAAAGTAAAGAAAGGTTTGTTTTGGCTCACAATTTGAGGGGACAGCTCATTACTACAGAGAAGTCATGGAAGTAGGAGCCCGAGCTGGCTGGGCACATTGCATCAGGAGGCAGTAATAACTGCTGGTGTCCCACTTAGTTTTTCTTTTTATTCATTCCAGGACCCTAGCCCATGGAATGGTGCTGCCCATATCTAGGGTGGGTCTTCCCTCCTCAGTTAACCCAGTCTAGAAGCTCCCTCACAGACATTCCCAGAGGTTTGTTTCCGTGGTGACTCTTAGTCCTGTCAAGTTGACTGTTAAGATTAACCATTGTATTGTTGCAACATGATGGCGTCAATGTGAGCTTAGTGAAGGCTGCCAGTGTGTTCAGAAGTTGTGTCCTTAATAAGGGACAGTCCAGCTAAGCAGCTTTACAAACAAGGAGGAAGTAGTGGACAGGGAGACAGAGATACAGGAGGTCTTAGAGATCTGAGATCTAGGGGCTGAGGGAGGGGAGGAAGGAGAGGACAGAATTGAGGTGTGAGAAGAAGGGGATGAGGTCTGACTTCAGTCCGGACAGCTAAATAGGGCACAGGGCAGGATAGAGGGCACTGTGGCCACAAAGGAGAGGGCTGAGCTGAGGTCTGTCCTGCTTGCTCTGCCTTCCTACTGGAGTGCAGCAGCTCCCTGAGCCTTTGAAAAGTCTGTGCTTGTCTTGAGCTTAATGTCCTTTTCTATTTTTAAGACAGGGTCTCATGTAGCCCATGCTGGCCTTGAACTCACTATGTAGCTTAGAATAGCTTTGAACTCCTGGTCCTTCAGTCTTTGCTTCCCAAGTGCTGAGATCACTGGTGTGCACCCCACACCCACACCCCATGCCCAGTGTCTTCTTTCAGCCTATGTTAAGCTGTGTGTCTTTTCTTTCTCAGTATCCCGTGGAAATTAGGAAGTACGAATATGACCCAAACTTTGCAATCCGTGGACTACATTATGATGTCCAACGGGTAAGTTTGATTCTCCTGTTTTTCTGTAGTTTTACAGTGTTTTGAAATAAATGATGCTTAATAAAATGGTTGGTATTTTCTTTGGTAAACAGTTGGTTTTAAATGAAATTCTTTAGGGTTGTAGAACAAATTATTCAAATGTTTCTGGATAGCTTTCAGAAAGATTAGTAGAGGGAGGTATTAGGGAGTGCCAGCTAATGCTGGGTGCTGTGTTTGTGGGAGGAGGAGCCAGTGCCATATTTGCTTTCTGTTTTTCTTTTCCTGATATGCCATTGCCTTAAAAAGCACTTTAGTTAACAAGCAAGGCTCTTGGAAACTGTACCTTGTCAGGGCAACTAATGTTGACAGGATTTATAATGATACCTGGATTGCTCATTTCGTATGCAAATTGTTATGCATTCTTCACACGTGTGTGCATGTTTATGTTTTTAAAGGCAATGTTGATGAAGATTGATGCTTTTCATTACATCCAGATGGGAACCGTCTACAGGTAAGAGTAAGCCATGAATTTCATTCACCTGCACAGCCCAGGGGATTTGGATTTCAGGCCCTGCTGACTGACCAGGGATGGGGAGAACAGCTATGTGTGAATTACAGTTCATTCACTCAGCCACTCACTCAGTTATTCAGGGATAAATAATGAGGTCCAGAACAGGCATAGTGCTGAGGTGTTGACTACAGGGCTCCCCTCAGGATGCAAGAGTGGAAGCCACACAAGTGAGCAACTGTAGCCCAGAGTAGAGTGGCAGGTGGTGGTGGAAAAGCAGTGGCTTGCTATCTGTACAGTGTAGGGATAGCTCTGGGTACAGGCCTGGCTGGCTGAAGTATGAACTGGTATTGTCGGAGACCGTGTGTGTGAGTGTGTGTGTGTGTGTGTGTGTGTGTGTGTGTGTGTATTCATGTTTATATATGCAGGTGTGTGGGGGCTAGAGGTCAATATCAGGGGTCTTCCTCAATTATTTTCTACCTTATTACCTTATATTTTGAGACAAGGGTTTTTCACTGAGCCTGAGTCCCACTGATTTGTCTAGACTAGCTGGCCAGCCCCAGAGGTCCTTCTGTCTCTGCTTCTATATACTGGTAGATTAGAATGTACTAGTCCAGCTTTGTTTTTAAAACTGGCTTCTAGAGGATGAATTTCAGGTTCTTGGGCTTGTGTGGCAAGCCCTTCACTGACAGCTGTCTCCCCAGCCCTGTCAGAGCTCTTTCTGATTGACTGTCTTCCTGTCTGACTTGGCTCTCTCAGGCAAGCCTTTGGCAGTACTAGCTTGCATTTTCCCAGCCCTAGGTCTGGAGAACCATAGCTTTGCTTCCTGTTGTTCCACAGGTTGGGCCTCATGCCTGGTCCCCAAGTGGATGATGGGGGAGTGGCTGTGCTGGGTGAGAGCAACATGTAGGTCTTTGCTGGTTCCCCTCATGCTTGGTCTGCTCATACTGCTCTTCCAGGATGCACTTTTCCTTCCTCTTGGGTTCTGGAAATATCCCTTCCTCTTGGGTTCTGGAAATATCCCTTCCTGTCCCCTGTTTACCACAGACTAGGCCATCCTGTCTTCACCCGCTTAGGCTGGAGTGGTCCTGCTCTCTCCTTGCTCCATGCTGTCCTCATGCTCCTGTGGTCCTGTCTGCATGTGTATGAATTATACATCGTGTTAAGGAGCAGGAATAGGGCTCAGCAGGGAATGCCAGTTGAGGCATTTAAGGAGAAAGAACATTCAGATGTAGGTTCTAGCAGGTTATATGTCTCTAGACCTTAGAGTGAGTTTCCAGGAAGCAGTGGGGTGTGTTGGGTATTTGGGGTCATACTCATTTCCTCAATGTGAACTGCAGCTCCGCTCAGCTGCCTGCCCTCCCCCACCCCCAACTGCTGGTCTCAGTAAGTTCTTGACTCTCTGCTAGCTTTGGCTTCCTCATCTGTAAAATGGGTAACTCCAATGCGTGCCTTGGCTGGTTGTAAAGTGGAAGCGTGCTTGGAATGTGCAGGATAGACAGGCCAAAGTGTCCTTTCTCTTTCTCCTTAGAACTGGTTGAGAACAAGAGGAAGGTGGGAGAGATGTGTCAGTCCCAGCCTTGCTTGTTTCTGAGACCTGGGCTCATAAGACACCTAGGCTGTGCCTTGTGACAGCAATGGCTTCCAGAGGACAGGGCCAGGTCTGTGGGCAGGTGGCCAGTGCCCTGTGCCCCACTGCTAGGATTCCTTCACATTTGTTTTCTTTCTTTCTTTACATGATACTATAGACATCTTCCTGTGCTAGCAAGAGCTATTCTCCAAGGTCAGTCTAGAATGATCTGGTTTGTTAGTAAGATCTTATCTGATTGCTGGAGTACAGAATGTCTTTTGTTTTCAAAAGCCAGTAATTTTAACAAGTCAGTCAGGATTAGAGACAAAACCGTAGTGAATTCACCTGGGTGCTTTTAAACCTAATTATGGAGGCAGGGTGTAGGGTATAGGAGGGAGGAGGTCAGAGAAAAGAAGTCATCATCACACAGCAAAGCACAAACCACTTTGTGAATGCATTTTAATGTTAGGCGATGCTTTGTCAGCCTGTTCTTAGCAGCGGTGAAGTTTCTATTGAGAGACTGTTTCTCATGTGCAGCATGACATCACCTGGCTTCTCTGCAGTTTCTAATCACTGCTGCAGTTTCTCAGGTGCTTACTCCCTGAAGACAGGTGGAGGAGCAGCTGTTTTACCCCCTTTTCCTTCTGGGGTTGGCGGATTCAGGTGTGCAAGTGGCAGAGGTCAGAATGACAGTGCAGAATTCACTTTTCCCTTGGATGTTCATTAGACAGGCAGATGGTGATGTGAAGCTGGCCCTCAGTGTCACAGAGCATTCAGTGTCGCCCCCTCTGCAGTAGTATGACCAGGCTCTCTGCCTCGTGTCATGTATTGAGTCCACCCAGCCTCTGTGTGACTTTTTCCACTCCGGCACTCAGTTTAGGGTACAGTATTGGAGGGCAGGAGGATAACGTTTGATAGAGACAAAGCAGGGTTTCTTTGCTTAAAAATGTAAAAAATACTGAAAACCCACCCCAAAGCTAGTCTTTGGGCAGCTTTGTCCCATAATGGTGTAAGAGCCTGGGTTGAGTGCAGGCTCAAAACCATATAGAGCCTGGTTTTAATCGTGACTCAACACTTTCTTCTTTGCTATATCACCTTTCCTGTGCCTCACTTGCCCTACCTGGAAAATGGGAAGAACAGTGAATAGTACCTCCCTCTTAGGACAGTTGAGAAATGAGTGATTGACCTGGTGTTCCTCCTGATTGGCATAACATAGATGCCATGTAGGATTAGATATTATCGTTATTAATCTGGCTCTTATCAGCAGAACAGTAGTTGTAATAGTAACATACCACCTGGTGTTTATAGCTGCTGCTATGGTACACTCTGCCTCATGGGACAGTAGTTTGTCCTGCCATAGTTGAAACATCCCAGCAGTAGACAGAAGCCCAGAAGTCATCATTCCTTCTAATCAAACATTTTAATGGCATTGTCTGATTTTTCCAGAGGCCTCAGTGTTGTTCCTGATGAAGAAGTCATTGACATGTATGAGGGATCCCACGTGCCCTTGGAGCAGATGAGTGACTTTTATGGAAAAGTAAGGAGAAACAGTGTCTTTAAGTAAAGCATAAGCATAATGTGATGCATAATGCCTTTCTTTTGTGTTGGTCAGTTTTATGACTGGAACATGGCTAGGAAATGACTTAAGGGAGGAAGGATTTGTTTTGGCTCACATTCAGAGGTGTCAGTCCATTGTTACATGGCTCTAGGTCTGTGGTACAGCAGAAGATCATGCAGGCGGGCTTGGTGGAAGAAAGCCACTCAACTAGGGATTGGAAAACAGAGAGAGTGAAAGGTAAGGTCTAGGGATGAGATATACCTAGTCCTCCAGCTAGACACTGCTTCCTAATAGCCCATTCAGCTATGAATTAATCAGGAGATAATCTTTGAATGATGTTAACACTCTCATGGTCTAGGCATTTCTCAGTAGCACCAGCAGGTAGGAACCAAGCCTTGAATACATGAGGCTTTTGGGCAGGGAGGGGTGGGGGATTTCAACTGTTGGATTCACCTGGTGCACATGCGGAATTGATGGAAATCTGAGATTGGGTGTGGAGAGAGAGTTGATCTGAGAGGGATTAGAGTACTGAAGAGTCACCCCTGGCTTTTCGTGATTCTCCTTCACCCCTTCTCCTTATCTGAAAGAGGAGAGGAGACTCTTTCTACCTCATACCTGTCTGGTTTGCCACCACACCCCTGCAGCTATATCATCCCTGCGCCCCCCCTCACCCCCCATTTGGGGCTCAGTCACTAGGGGCTGTTGTGGAGTAGCTCTGGCTTCCCCAAGATGGGCTGAAGTATCCTAAGATTGAGGACTAACCTCCTGCTATTGCCTGAGGGAGATCCCAGCTCTTCTGTGTCCTCCCGTCTGAGAGGGAGTGGGAAGCAAGACTAGCTCTGGAGAATGTGGGACGGGAAGGAGAGGAGGGGAGTCTGACTCCTAGGCCGGCCACCTATGCCTAGTGAGAATCAACTCTGTGTGAGGCTTTGGAATAAGGGGAACATATCACTTTCATTATTAGGGATCCAAGTGTGGATGCCTGGAACTCCTCTGGCTTCCTGGCATCCTCCTGCTGCCTGTCACACTGTAAGTTGGGGTCTCTGTTGCTAAGCCTGTCTTCCCTCTGCAGAGTTCTCATGGGAACACCATGAAGCAGTTCATGGACATCTTCTCACTGCCTGAGATGACCCTACTGTCGTGTGTGAATGAGCATTTCCTGAAGAACAACATTGACTATGAGCCTGTGCATCTGTACAAAGATGTCAAGGTTGTAGGGCGGGGGCAGGGCGAGTTTGGGATTGCGGGCTTCTCAGGAGTTAGTCCACTCTCTTGGTTGGGCGTTTTAGTCCTGTGCTGAGATCACTTGTCTCTGTGATTTAACCTTGAAAGTCATAAGAAGGATGTTGCTGAATCAGAAGAATTGGAGCAGCAAGTTTCTATCACAAAACGGAGCTCACTATTACCTGGATTTCTAATCCTTTCTAACTGGAAGGCCAGCACACCCAGCCCAAAGGGCAGCCAGCCCTGCTCTCGTGTGAGCCCAACTACAAGAAGAGGGTTTCTCTTCTTTACTTGGGGACACCATTGTTTTGTGTCCATGCTGTTGGCTGGTGTGGCTGAAGTTGCCAGGAGGGCACTTTTAAAACATTTTTTAAAATTACCAGATTGTAATTACACATTTTTATGTGGTGCAGTGTACACTGTAGCCCATAAAGATGCCCAGGTATGGAGGATGAGGAGAGATTGGCTTTTTCTTGCCCACAAAGGCTCCACATGCTAGAGTCCACGTGCAGCTAGAGGGCTGCATGAAGGTACAAACCCTTAGGTCCATATATATACATTATTTAAAAGTTTATATAGTTTAGTTTATGTTCATAGCCACATATATTTTTATAATATGTATTAAGTTCTGTGAACTTTCACGATACTTAAAACATGTTCATAATAATTTGATATATAATCATAAGAGTATTTTTATATTTATATGTAATATAGCTTTATCTTGGTTATTTTTTAAAGATGCATAATTATATGCTAAAAATATTTTTATGTTTATCGCCACCGTAACATTTTGATTGTCCCGAATTCTGGATTTTAGAGAGTTGAAGGATGAATGGCAGTTTCTCAGCATCACTTTGATAACATTTGAGCTGTTTAAATATTTAGTTTCTAGTCTCCTTTTGTGTACACAGATACTCCATGTTTAAGACTCATTTGTAAGAGCCCTTTCCATCCATGGGGAAAGATTGTTTGAGAGTTCAGTTTTTATTGTAAGCGTTACTACCACCATCAGTAAGCACTCTGTAGTGCTTATCCTGTCCCAGGCTCTGTTCTTCTGAGTAGTTTCTGTGAACTCACTAAATCCTTGCAGTGGTGCCTGAAGGTATCATTATCATCACTCCAACTTACAGACTTTGAGGCACAGAGCGCTTATGTGTTCTGCCCAAGGTTACACAGCTAATAAGTGCCTAGATTTTTTTAAGCCTTACAGTTTGGCTGGCGTTTAATCATTGCCTTCTGTGCTGATGTAAAATTGAAACAGGCTCATGCTAAAGGTAATTGAAGTTAATATGACAGCCCAGAAGGGCCCACTCTTGACAGACGTCTACCAACAGTCTAAGACTCAGGCACCATTTTGCTTGTACCCACGTCCATTGCTGCTGGCAGCAGTTTCCCTCTCCCTCCAGGAGCCCACAGGCCCTGTGCTGCAGCCCCTCCCCCTACGAGCGGATCCTGCAGTGGCATCTGGCAAGCAGCAGGCTGCCATACCTACAAAGGCTAACCCCCCTTCCCCTTTCCTGTGTCTGTCATTTAGTCCCGTTGCTGCCTAAGTGACAGTGACCTTGGCGGTTTCTTATACTGTTGGCAATATTCAAGAGAGGAGGATCCTTTTTTCCTTCTGCCTTTACCTCGTTTTATAGAATTTTTGGCATCCAGGGATGGCGAAGGAAGGGCACAAAGATGTAGAGAGCAGGAACTCCTGCAGGTCATCTGATGCCGTTTGTTCACCATCCTGCATCTAAACTACACAAACAACCTTTCAGAATGAAACTATTGAAAATTGCATTGGCAACTGCCACTGTCCCCATGGAAACACAAGCTTTTCCTTTAGGACCACCCAAGACAAAGAGGCCAGTGTTGAGATGTTGCTTAGTGCTTGGATTGTCAGGCTTCTAAGATAGAAGTGAGCTCCAATGATATTTCACTGGGACTCACTCCAGCCTTCCCCAGCTCCATTTTCACTGATGAAAACCTGTCTTTGGACAGGACTCAATAAGGGACGTCCATATCAAAGGAATAATGTACCGAGCAATTGAAGCAGATATTGGTATGTACTCAACAGTGTATGTATGCTGTGCTGCTGTGTGGTCTCTTAGTGTTGCATCCCAGAGGCTGAGCAGGGCTTGCATGCATCTCTGAGTGCTGTTTAAGGACCCTGATCCTGACAGTGTAGATATCTTTTCTGTTCTAGAACTTGGTGTCACTTTAATGCAAAGAGAGGACCTGACAGCTGCCCCTTAGATCCCCCAAGGAGGTGGAATCTTTGTTTCTGATACACTGGGCATCCATGTACCACCCAGAGTCAGCCTTAAGACCCGAGCTTTCCACTGTGCCCAGGACAGTGCTTAACTCAGGCACCCCATTTTGTTAGGATCAGTAGAATGGCTGATTTCATCCTGACTCTGTGGACTTTTCTCTTCTTAGAAAAGTATATCTGTTATGCCGAGCAGACCCGAGCAGTGTTGGCTAAACTGGCTGACCATGGCAAGAAGATGTTCCTCATCACCAATAGCCCCAGTAGCTTTGTGTAAGTTCTGTCTGCCCTTGCCAGCTCCTGGTTCACTTCTGTGTGCTAGTCATTTTAACAGTTTAAAGAAAAAAGTTTGCCCCTTTGCTGTTCAGTTTTCATGGCTGACTTGTTGTTCCAGAGACAAAGGGATGAGATACATCGTTGGGAAAGACTGGAGGGACCTGTTTGATGTGGTCATTGTTCAGGCCGAGAAGCCAAACTTCTTCAATGATAAGCGGAGGTGAATGTTCCTCGCGCTAGGGGACTCGATTGCATTTTGTGGTTATGTGTGTGGCATGCTTTGGTGAAAATCCAGTTACTAAATTATAAGTATCTGAGGCAGTGCTTTTGCTTTGTAGCCCCAGAGCACACAACCTTGAGGATGGTAGGGTTGGCACATGTCAGGCAGTTTGTACGTATTTAAGCTGTTTTCAGTTCAGTGTGGGCTGCCTCAGTCCAGTGACTCAGGCTTTAAGAAAGTGATAGACAGCAATGGAAATCAAAGCTTCACATCACATAGCAAATTAGGTCTTTGTCTCCAGGCGCATTATGAAGTTCAAGAAAACAACACCGACAACAGACCGGCTGGTGGTGTCTCTTGAAATAGAGCTAATTAGTGTATTTAAAGTTGCAGTTGGATTGCACAAAACTCTTCAGTAACTTGGGCTTTGCAGCAAGTACAATGAATGACTTTCTCTATGTCTTATATAATGTCTTCGAGCCTCAGTAGCTTTGAGAGGTGGGGGAGGGTAGACATTTGGGGTTGAGACACTGTCCAGGGTGTGCTGTTAGTACAAGAGTGCTAAAGTGTCTTTAAGCTTGGGGACAACTAGGTGGCCCCTACTCCAAAAGATCCCCAGTATTGAGAATTCTCATGTTAGTGTTCTAAGAATAACTCTCTTGTGTCTGATGGCCTAGTTTTGGAAGGCCTTTTACTGACGTTCTCTGGTCTGTAGTTGGTGACCAGGCAGTCTTCCCTCTAGGTAGTTTAAAGCATCCTAATGTGGTACCTCAAGTTAGTGCAGCATACACACCATTTTTCTTGGGATGTTAAATGTCAAAGTGGCTCCTGGAAGAAACCCTCCCCCCAGCAAGGCTCCTTGCCTCTGTGTTGTCCACAGTGGAAGGGTAGGGGCCTGAACTCTTCTTGGGAGGGCCTCTTGGCATAGCCCTCCTTTCCCCCTTCACAACATTACTTACTTTCCTTTTGTTCTGGATGCTGGGAATAAGAACTGAGAAACCCTCCATCTGTGTTACTTGTTAAAGCTCAATAGTTGGGGATGACGTATTGATTCAGAATATTCATGGAGGACATGTCAGGTAGCCATTAGAAATGATGCGTTGGTGAATAAAAGCAGTGAACATGTCTTATTACAGTAAAAGATGATATGCTTAAAATATGTCATCACACAAGAACATGCTGACAGTATTAGAGGAAAAAGGATATAAATGAAAGTTTACAAAGTGGTCCTCATGTTCCTCAGAAAAGGGAGAGTGGGTTTTACGTGAACATGAGAATGAACTGAGGTGCTAGGTGTTTGTTTGGAGCTTGGCTTTTAGAGCCATTGTCAGGCTTGAAGGGACACATGCAGTGCTGGCGTTTGCCAAGTGCCAGACCTTGGAATTCTTTTAAAAAATTTTTTCCTAAAAAAAAAAAAAAAAATTCCTATTTCCTTATCATTCACCTCTAGGTGGTGGGTCTGAGAGGGTGGGCTGGAGTGCCCCGGGCCAGAGAACATAGTGAGGTCTGTGGGGTGGGCTGGAGTGCCCCGGACCAGAGAACATAATGAGGTCTGTGGGGTGGGCTGGAGTGCCCCGGGCCAGAGAACGTAGTGAGGTCTGTGGGGTGGGCTGGAGTGCCCCGAGCCAGAGAACATAGTGAGGTCTGTGGGGTGGGCTGGAGGGCCCTGGGCCA